AGAAGCTTTAATGTTTCCCTTTAAGACTATGAGAATATTTTTATTGCACAGTTAACAAAATTTCCCAATTCTTGGATCTGGAAAAAGCCCAAACACAGAAAAATCAACAACGAATTTAAAGAACTAAAGTGGGAATAAAAGTAAGAAAGGACTTCACTGATTATATATAATTTAAGGCCCAATCCTAAATTTTAAAAATAGTATTAAATTTAGCTTGTGCGCCCATGCATGATTTTGTGTGATTTTTGTTTGCGTTGCTAGCTTTGTAACACATGTATTTGCTGGGAACTGGAGTTTCCTGCCATATGCAGTTATTCTTTCTGTAGTCTACTTTCTAGTGAATTTTCAGTGTGCTACTCTTTCCTGCAAGGAAATGTTCTGCATTTATGCCAATAGAAGACGTGTTTTTCATTTTTTTTGTTGAAAGCTTTATAGTTTTTTCCTAACAGAAAGCAGATTCTTAGACCCTAGAGCCATCACAGTTGAAAAGACATTAACAGGGAATCTGTTCTCAATCCCTTTTTCACAGAAGTGTGTCATCTGGGAATGCCCAAACTGTGCTATGCTAGGGTTACTGCAGCTCCTCTCAAGGTTGTTCTCCATGTTTTTACTGACAATTTGTGCATGCATGTGTCCCGTGTTTCCATAATCTGCTTAAACCCGTTTCAATACTTATTCTCCTGGGCCTTGCTATATGTTGTGTGCGCTTCTTTCCCTTCTTTGACCATTTGTGTTCAGTTTTGTGTTCTGTCAGAGATTTATCATCTGGACACAGAGCATTTGTTTTTTACAGGGGCTTAAGTGATACTTTTATTTGGCTTCTGCATAATTCAGAATTGTAACATTTCAAGGAATTATGAAAAAAAAAAAAATTGCTTATCCTGATATACCTGTTGGTTCCTAAAGCTTGGCCTTTTCCAAGAAATCAGGTGGATTTAGTCCAGATCTTTCTGAGCAAGAGCATCAAATTCTTCTATCATGTGAATCTTGACTTTCTTGCAAAATACTAAATGTCTGATACCTAATTAATTCTCTAGGAAAAACTCTTGTAAATTTTTAAATCTGTTGCCGCATTCTATTGGGGAATTAACATTACAGCATATTTCTTACTCACTGGCAGGAGAAAAACCCCCAGACTGCTCTTACTCTGAAAGGCCAGGTTATAATGAATTTACGAATGCTGTAAATGTTCCAGGCACTGGCAGAGTCTAAGTCAAAGTCTGGAACTTTTTTCAATGGAAAATATTTATTTCACATGGTCTGTATGTGTTGTCAACACGCACTCATTTCAGTGGCACGGGTTATTAGGAATTTGCATGAAGTCAAGTCTAGGTCTGTTGTTTTTCAGTTTTACTTTCAGTCTACAAAATGATGTTGTTCATTATGCAAACATTTCGGGAGGAGTGCTGAGGGAACTGGAGTTGTTTAGCCTGAATTAAAAATGCTGAAGGGAGACCTTATCACCCTCTTCAACAACCTGAAAGGAGGTTGTAGAGAGGTGGGGGTCAGTCTCTTCTTCCAAGTAACAAGTGATAGGACAAGAGGAAATGGCTTCAGGTTGCAGCAGGGGAGGTTTAGGTTGGATATTAGGAAAAATGTCTTCACTGAAAGGGTTATCAAACATTGGAACAGGCTGCCCAGGGAGGTGGTGGGGCCACCATCCCTGGAGGTGTGTAAAAGATGTGTAGATCAGGTGCTTAAGGACATGGTTTAATGGTGGGCTTGGCAATGTAAGGTTAATGGTTGGATTCAATGATGTTAAAGGTCTTTTCCAACCGAACCAATTCTGTGATTCTATGGTACTATAATAGAAGGGAAGGGAGGATTGTCCATTAGTCTAGTATTCACTTCAGCCAGGAGTAGCTCCCATCCAGGAATCCCCCTGGGCTCTGTCTGTAGCATATGACTCAATTCCTGCACATCACTTTGCATTCTGAGTTAAACTGCTTAGACTCTGTTTTCCCAGTGGAGCTCTTGCTGTTATTCTTTTTACTTCAGATGTGGGAAAAGACGACGCCAGACCCTTCCCAAATGTGAGAACACTCAGGTCTTGCATTGCCAGCACCCTCTGCAGCTGGTGCTGTCACTCAGCTGCTCAGTAGGGGCCTGTTTGACCTCTACATCTTCCTGACACTTCATTCCTGAAAGAGGAAAGAGCAACAATCCTCCTCCCTTGCTAAACACCATTTGTTGGTTGAGTTAGCCACCTTTAACCTTCGTAAAGTCAACATCTCTTCCGTCAAGCACTGCGTTGGGTAGAAAAAATGCCATGGATGGAGGTCAGTTTTTGTAACAAATGCTCTCGTAACAACCTGAAGGCTGGAAAGTGGAGGCTTAGCTTTGAGCCTTCTATCAGTTCATTCTGTGACTCCCCCAGGAAAGCATTTCTCATCCATCTCACAGACAGAGACGCCTCTGAGCTCTGTCTCTCCCTGAGATTTTGCACAGTAATTTGTATAGCTTCATGAAGGTGAAATGACAAAAGTTGTGCCTTGTCTTCACTTCTTTTTTTCTGGCAAAGCAATTTTATTTCTCAATAAAAAAGACCTGAACCATCTCATGGCACTTTAATGTAGCCTTCTTCTAAATCATCTTCACAGTTGTGCCATTTCTTGGAACACAGGAACTCTTTCGGTCAGGACCACTGGTCCTACTTTACTTTTGCTGCACCTGACCAATACAATTGTCTTTGGATACTGAAACTGAATCTTAGGCCTCTTCTAATTGCATGTGCACTTAGAAAGGCAATTCAGCCTCCAGCATTCGTTGTATCTTCCCCTGTAGTCAACATGAGTTCTCTATAAAATGAAGTCCTGTGCTGGCAGAAAATCTTTTTTGCAAGAATAAATGGCTTTAGCATTCACTGCAGAAAGTTGTAGTAGGTTTCATCAGATACAGCCCATGGTACAAAGTAGAGCTGATTTCTTTTGCGCGTGAAAGTGATTTGAAGGGTATATCCACGGAATTAATGCTTTTGTAGCTCAGCACGTGATCTGAGAAAAAGTCATTCAAGGTAAATGACAGGTTAAAACTATAAAACCACTTGAAAGAGATATCTTTGTATGTAAATTGTGAGCATACAATTTTTGATCTTGTTAATCTCCTAGATTAATGTTGTAGCTATGTCTTTGAGAGATACAGGCAACCTGAAGATCAAGAGTGTTGAATCATGGTGATCAGTTGCTTCTGATACATCAGTTAAACCTACCACAGAATGAGGTACAACTATTCAGTCTGTAATTTTCATTCCCCCCTGGATGGTTCCTTTGCTATCCAAATATGGTACACTAAAAAGCTGTATCTCAAGAGTGATGTTATTAAAATACTTCTGTTGATATTAATTTGAGTTTTTATTCTCCACTCTTATTTCACCTATTCCTTTCCAAACAGATAAGAAAAGAACGGGAAAATGATTTCCTTCCTATTGCTTTATTCAAAATTGATGCTTTAACAATCATAAGAAGTGACCATAGTATAGTATTTGGAGTTCTTTCACCACATTAGGAGGTTGGATCTACGCTATGCCATTTAATTTCTTCCCAATCCAGATGTCAGCATAAATTGAGGAGAATGTATACTTTACTATTTTTTCATATCCATAGGATGAAGATTTGAAGACTGAAGATTTATACTCGCTACATATTTACTCCTTGTTTTGGTGAGTCATTTATGAGTCAATCTGACATTCTTCTGACAATAAGCTTGTAATGTTCGCAGTTCCAAACAGACTGAAGTGATTTTCTGGTTGTTGGATTTGCCCTTTCCTATAAAAGCACTTGTACATTCTTACATTTGTCAACCTCGCTACTTAATTTTCTACAAATCAAAGAAGTATATGCATTAACATGCTCACTCAAAACACAAAAGTAAAATAACTTATTTTCCCCTCATTTATCTCTCTATCCACTACTGCTCTGTTTCAGTTCATGTATCCAGTTTATTCTTAGTCTTCAACTTCTATCTTTCTGCTGCTTGAATTTTTCACTTTCCTTTACTTTTTCAGGTTTTCCCCTAAATTTTTAAAGGCATTTCTATGACCTTAGTAGTATGATTCTCTGTAAGATAGGAGGGTGCTAATATAGCCTTCAGTATTTGGTAGGAGCTGTACAATCAAACAACTGAGCAGAATTTTAAGGCTTTTTTCCTTCCACAGTCTCAGATGATACTTGTACTGAGATTCAATGTCTGACTTGCTCTGCAGATGAGGAGCTGGCATCACTACCATAAGCTTTTCTAATGTAATTATGAAGTTTCTCTTAGCACCAAGTCAATATTTCCGGTACTAATTAAATTTGATGGCTTCACAGTAGTACAAAAAAAAAAACCCGTTTCAGGTACAGGAAACATCAAGATGTGTGCAGAGACACTTACATGGTAATTTATCTTAGGACAGAGAGCAGTAGAGACAAAAAGCAGAAGAAAGAGGTGGCCAGATTTAAGTTTGCAGAAATAGTAAAACGA